GGTCGCTCGGAGGGGAAGCGCAGGGTTACCGGGCTATGGGGGGGGGGCAGGCGGCGGCGGCGGCATTTGCCTTTGCTGGCTTGGGAGGGAGCATCGCAGGCTCTGTTTGCCCTTCGTCCTGGTGCCCTTTGCCGCCGCGATTGCTGTTAACGGGGGATTATCCATTTCTGACTAAAAAGCGTTCTGCTCCGGTTCGACTGTTTTTTTCCGCCCAGTAGTAATACTGCGGGAGGCGGCCTGCCGCCTCAAGCAGAACAACAAATGGACTCCCTATCTTCATTGATTGATTGATTGATTGTATTTATACCCTGCCTGTCTAGCCAAACGTAAGTCAAGACGTACAGTGCTCAAAGCCCAGACGAATGATTTTAGCCTAGGAAACAAAATCATCTTTCTCGTTCCTATGAGTTAAAACTCAACAATAATAAAAAAGTTAAATCGCTAATTATTTCTTGCCATTTAATAGCATCTCAAGGTTACCATGTTCCTTGACTCTTCCACTCAATTCTTCTCTGTCCCTGAAAGTTATGGAGGGACATGTCATGAATGTTTTGAATGTTATGCTATGCACTAGTGATTGTGAGTGCCTAATAAGATTGGTAGAGATTGAGGATTTTTTTTACTGTATATACCGTAACAGTGTGCTTGTATGCATTTACAGTAAGGAAAACTCAAGGATGGTGTGATTAGGAGTGGCTTTTCTTTGTTGTTTACATATATCCCATCCACAATCAGTGATTCAGTGCCAGTTCTGAGGGGAAGGCAAAGGATTTTCATCTACTATTACAATTTGCACCATGTAAGATGTCACAGTAATTTTTCATAAATTAATTTTTTAAATCTGATTCCCTCCAAAGATCATGGAATCATTCCACTTTGACAAAGTGATTGGGGACTATGGGATGGGGAGGGAGAAATCTTGAATATCTGCCCCTCACCTCTGCCACTGAAATCATACTGGCAGTTGTGATTTTTGAATAGTAAATATTTCCCCTTATCCTGTGGCCCACAGCAGCTTCCCCAGGATGAAAGGGAGCCCATGAGAATGTCAAGACCTTTGGGAGGGATCAGAATTTTTTAATTTATGAAAAACCACCCCAGTTGATGATGTAATCAACCTTACATGGCATATGTTCAGCTGCTAGATTTCTGCTGTTAAGTACTGAAGAACAAACTGAAATTCTGTCAAGTCAATAGTGAATTTGTTTGTACTAGTTGCATGCTAGCTTTGGTTGACAGATGAAAACCAGCTAATAGTTTGGTGTCCTTATAAGTTTCTTCATAGATGGTTCTTGTTAAATATAGAAGGATAAGGAAACTGAGCATTTAAAGGTATTAATGAGGGTCTTGAACCACAGCAAAACCTAAACTATTTCTGCAACCATAAAATAATCTTATTTTAACAGGAGTGGAGTTGTCAAGATTTAAGCATGTTCTTAGCCCTGGAAAGAAATACTTTAAGGGTCTATAATTACTACTTTCTGCTTGGATTGAATGAATGCCATTGTTATATATAGATAAAAGAAGTATTGCACTTGTTTTTCTTGAAACCTAAGTGGCTGTTGCCACCAGGCATATCTTCTTTGCTTTTGAACAGAAAAGTAAGGGAGTGCAACAATGGGGTGCTTTGTAAGGAGTGACTGTGAGAAGAAGACTTATTACTCATTTTCTCACACAAAACTAATTTTTGCTTTTCATCTAGTGCACTTGTATCAGCTGGATATCACAGTGAAACAGGGGCGTGACAAGATGCGGGAGCTGTTTATGAAGAATGCCCATGTCACAGACCCCAGAATTATTGATATACTTGTTATAAAGGTAAACCAAGCAACACTTGTCTTATTTCTATTTAGGCGGCTTTCATTATCAGAACAAATAACTTGAAAACCTTAAAAAATTACAATATTGAAACAAGAATTAAACAGATATGAAAAACTAGTGGATAAAAACAATTTAAAATAATTCTAAAGGTGTATTTAAAAAACAAAATCTTAAGAACCCTTCTTAGACAGCCAGTTACTTAGAAAAAGCCTTTGTGGGGAGAAAGGTTTTTGCCTGCTTGCAGGACAGCAAAGAGGGTGAGAGCATGGTCTTCTGTGGGAGGGTGTTCCACAGCTTGGGAGCAGTGGCAAAGAAGGCCCTGTCCCATATCCTCAATAAATGTATCTATGAGGGTGAAGCATTTTGGACCCGTTACAGTTGCTGTATACTTTCCAAAGGCATCCCCACATCAAGCATTAACAATCCAAATGAGATGTTACTAAGGCATGTGTCACTGTGGCCCGATCAGACATCTCTAGGAATGGATACAGCTGGCACACTAGTTTTAACTGTGCAAAAACTGACTCAGCATCGCTTGTTGAGTTCTGTCCTCCAGGAAGGGCCAGAGCCACTGTCTTAAATCCATACTTGATAAATGGTGATTGCTATATGTAGACAACTACTTTCCCTTCTTTTGCTCAATCTTTATAGCAATGGGAAGGAGGGAGAGTTCATAGTACATTCCAGAGAATTTCTTTCTCAGCCATAAAATATTCATAATGGTTGATTTTCCTTTCTTGAATGCTGAAGCATATCTTGCAGTTCAGGTACATCCCTGTACATTGTTTAAACAGGAGCAATCCATAGCCTATTCAATATGATAGGCATACTAACCAAAGTTTAAGCAATGACTACAATAATGAAAGATCACAAGCTTAAGTTAAGGTTAATTAACAGTAATCTTGTGCTGATTTTTTATGATACATTATTTGTATTTATGGTGCCTTTTGTGTTTTATGTACTGATTGTGAACAGAGAGATCGATCAGCCACAACATTATAACCTAAAAGCCCAATATCATGCAGGTCTCCCTCATGCTGCCAAAACAAGTGTGATGTGTTGAGGCATGGTTAACAGTAATCTTGTGCTGATTTTTTCCGATACATTATTTGTATTTATGTATTTATGGTGCCTTTTGTGTTTTATGTACTGATTGTGAACAGAGAGATTGATCAGCCACAACATTATAACCTAAAAGCCCAATATCATGTAGGTCTCCCTCATGCTGCCAAAACAAGTGTGATGTGTTGAGGCATGGATGCCACAAGACCTCTGAACTGTGGTATCTGGCACCAAGATATTACCAGAAGATCCTTTAAGTCCTACAAGTTGTAAGGTGGGGCCTCCATGGATTGGAAATTCATATCAAACACATGAAATTCAAGAGCTGACTGTTCACTTGCTGCATATATTTCATACCTTGACAGGTACCCATTGTAACACTACAATCAATGCTGTTCACTTCACTTGTCAGTGGCTGATCTCTGTCTCTGTGTACACGCACATATATCCACACACACATTTTATATATATATAAACACTTTTAAGTTACAAATCTACTTCATGTTGGAATGATATTTCAGAACCAAAAGTATTAATCGTTTTAAATTATACAGTGGGTGTAGAGCAAGAAATTTTCAGCTGTTGAGAGGAAGAATAAATATAAATAGTTATGAGACAATTCTGGTTAACTTATGTCTCTTAAGTCTGGATTGTGCAGTAGTAACTATTAGAGAAATGTATGGATAGGTGAGGATGAACATTGCAGGTGGTCCACTATGCAAGAAAAGGATTATACTGTACTTGAAAGATAAGAGAATTCCTTTGTAAGATAGCATGGAGCATTTTACTTCTGACTACTAGTCCTCCTAAAGTGATGTATAATAAAATCATAGTACTAAAAACAGAACAGTAACACAGTTCTAAAGCAAATTTAAAAGTTTTTCTCAAAACTAGAGATAGGGGTATTTGTATACGAATAACCCAGCACAGCTGGACTTCACGAGGGTCCAGCCCCTGGTGCCAGATCATCCACTCAAGGGGGCCGCTGCAGCTGCCAGCCCTGCTCTTCTTTGTAGTTGCTCTGGAATGCCTGGTTGGCTAGCTACTCCTGGCAGAAGAAGGGAAGACGAGTCTCCCTGCACGGCTGACAAGTGGCTAGCCAAGTGATTTGAAGGAAGAGCGGGGTTGGGGCTGACGATGGATGTGTGAGTGGATGGCCCAGCCCCAGGAGCTGTACCCTCATTAACTCCAGCTGTGCAGGGGCATTCATATTCGTATACAAATACCCCCATATCTACTCAAAACCATAAGCCTGACAAAATAATACAGTTTTTGACTGCCTGCTGGAAGTTCTGTAACTATGGGGGTGGGCTGTCATCTTTCTAGATGGAATTCCACAATCAGTGTACTGCCGTGGTCAGTTTCCTACTCTGTAGTAATGGATTAGACAGTATTTACAATATGCTAAATACCATTTTCTCTCTCTTTCTGCTTGTGTAGGGGAAAATGGAACTGCAGGAGACTATTTACATGTGGAAGCAACTAACACATGTAATGAGATATTTTCATGAGACAGAAATACCTCAACCGAAGGACTTCTTGTCCAAATTCTACGCGGGCCATGACCCTTGAGCCAAACAGTTTTTGAGTAGCTGTAATTATATGTTTTCTCTTCTCAATAAAGCCCTGTATATTGAAGAGCTCTTCAACAGAAGTTATCCATACTGGCAATTGTTGTTCTGTAATAATTATTATGTGCCATCAAGTCAATTCCAACTTATGGAGATCCTTTTCAAGGTTTTCTACATACAGTACTCAGAAATGCTTTTCTGGTCCCTTCTTTTGAAGGAACTTTGGGACTGTGCTGTACAGGCTGGCTCATCTTCCAAGAGACAACAGTAGAGAAAAAAGTACTTTGCAGCCAGGTACTCAACTTAAGGAGCTCTCCAGCCAGTTGTGAATTCTTTGTACTGGTCCTTCACTTAGTGTACTCACTTCTCACTTTCTCCACATAGAGAGCAACATGACTGAAGATATGTCTGCTTGCACGTAGAGCCTACATATATATACGCAAGAGTTTTTTTCTCTTTAGACATACTGCATATCACACAAAGAAAGCAGCTCCTCTATTTTGATAACAACCAGGTAGATAACAACTGAATAGGGCTCTTCCTTCAAAACCCCAAAACCAGTCTAATTGTCTCAGTCCTACTAAAGCCATCTCATTTCAACAGCACATGCCCCTCTTGGCCATTCACATCCACTCTCCAGCAGACATTCCACGTCACTTTATATACATAACCTTGACAATTAGAGATGGGGACAAACCATGAAACTAGTGGTTCAAGCTAGTTGGACAAATAGGTGTTCAGTACTTCCGAGCACCGCCTCCAGTGGATGCCCAATCAGAGGAAGTGTCCAGAGGAAGCAGGGCAGGGAAGCCAGGGTGCTGCCTTTGAGTGGGTGCCCACTGGAGAAAGTGGGACTAGGAACCACTGAACACCTGTTTCTCCAAAGAATGAACTGGCATGAACTCTTTTTTTACAAATTATATAGCATCATAAAGTCCATACATTCACTTGGAAATTAGTCTTCTATGAATAAAGATGAACTTTTCTCAGAGTAAATATTTTTAAGTTTTTGCTGGTGTTGTATTTGTGTCCATTTACTCTGTTGCACAGATGCTGTTTTGTTTGCTCTCTATAGAATGCAGATGGCCACTACTGGTAAAGATTAGATTAGGAGATGAAGAAGTAAATGGGCTCCTTTTCTGGTGGGTGACATTGTGGGGGCCAGTAATGGTGCTGTCAGAACAGATATGGGGACATAGTTGGCATCTGTGTTGGTAGAAGCCTCTGTTCTTGTCTCCCTATCTGTGTCCCATTGCCTGTTATTTGTCAATATTTGTTTCAGATTAGGATGAAGCCTGCCTTTGAGTGCAGGCTAGTGCCATAGTGCAAGGGAAAGGGAGGTTACATCGTCCAGCATAGGCTGCTGATCAATGATGGTGTATTTAAGTGGCCTCCTTTGGGAGCTATAAGAGACTAACAGTAGTGTTTTATCTTTAGGATCTGTCTTATTGTTTATTTCTAGATAAATATCCATCTTGCCCTGTCAATTTGTCTATTCACCTCATTGAGTGGGTACTGTGGTTTAAGAGATCTCCATTGCAAATCTATGAATTTTGAGTATTTATTTATTTCATTGATTTGTATACTGCTCCCTCTGGGAGCACATGAGACATCTAGATACTGGTCTCCTGATACCCCTCCCCTGCATCTGACATTTGGCGGCATCTTCCTTTTAAGCCTGGAGATTGTACATCCCCATCATGGCTGGTAATCTGTGATGGACTTTTCCTCCAGGAATCTGTCTAATCCCCTTTTAAAGGCATCTAGGCCAGATGCCGTCACCACATCCTGTGGCATAGAGTTCCACAGACTAAAACATGCTAGGTGAAGAAATATTTACTTTTGTCTGTTCTCACTCTACCTACTCTCAATTGGAGTGGATGTCTTCTCGTTGCACGAGAGGGAAAAAGCTCCCTCTATCCACTTCATCCATCCCCTGCATAATGTTATACATCTCAATCATGTCACCCCTCAGGCGCCTTTTCTCTAGATTAAAGAGCCCCAAATGCTGTAACCTTTCCTCATAAGGAACGTGACCCAGCCCAGTCATCATTTTAGTCGCTCTCTTCTGCACCTTTTCAAGTACCACTATGTCTTTTTTGAAGTGCGGCAACCAGAACTGTACGCAATACACCAGGTTCAGCCTTACCAGGATTTTGTACAATGGCATTCTAATGTTGGCTGTTTTATTTTCACTCCCCTTTTTAATGATACCTAGTATGGAATTGGCCTTCACTGCCGCCGCACACTGGGTTGACACCTTCATCGAGCTGTCCAGGTTTTATTTCTTTTTGCAAGCCTTCTTTAAATTGTTTACCTTGTTAAGCTAATTTTCTGAATTCTCCTTAAGAAAAATTGTAGTTTTTTAAAGGGTGTAGCATAATTTCACTCGTTTATAACACCTATGATTTTTGCTATGTAGAATATGAAATAGTAGTAATGTTCCCTTGAACCTGGACTCCAGAGAGCTTGAATAGTCTTGTTCCTTCTCCCCAGGGGGAGGAGAAAAGACCAGAAGTTTTGAAATGTCAAGATGAATAGCATATTTACTCAGAAATAAATCTCAGAATTCAGTGGGGCACATACTCTAGTAACTATACTTGCAGTGTCACAGCACAATCCTGTACATGCCCAGTCAGATGTAAGTTCCATTGAGATTTAATAGGATTTGCTTTGAGGGCAGACTGCAATCTAAAGACAACTGAAGGAGACATATGATTCTAGCTCTGTCACTCTTTAATTGTAATCTGAACCATTTGATGATACTCATTAATTCCCTAGGACTTCTGCAGAAAATGTAATATGCAGCATACAATGATTGTTTACCTAACAAATACATATGCATGTCCATGGGTATAGTCATTCCCATTTAGATATACACACAGAATTCTTTAGTATGATGAAAATCCACCTGCCCCAAAATACTGTATATTCTTTATAAACTAAAGAGATTGCCATGATTATGCACTGGATTTGTCAGCATACATTGTTCGTTTCTCCACCATATTCCCACACTGTAACCCTGTAAAGAAACAAGAAAATCTTTATTCCACACCATGTAACTATTTTAGTATTCAATTAAAGGATGCCAATTCTGCAGGGGTCTTCAAACTATGGCCCATGGGCCACATCCAGCCAATCTTGGTTTTTTATCCGGCCCACGCATAGGAAGAGGAGGGAAGGGGGACCCAAGCAACCCCCCACCTTTGCCTTCTTTGCAAAGATAGCAGGGATGGGGGATTGCTTGGATCTTCCTTCCCTCCTCTTCTTATGCCCAAGCAGGGATAGGAAGAGGAGGTAAGCCTGATCTAAGCAATCCCCCAGCCCCACTGTGTTTGCAAAGACAGCGGGAGTGGGGGATTGCTTGGGCTCCCCTTCCCTCCTTTGGCCCTCAAAACTGTGTAAAATATATGATGTGACCCTCATAGTGAAAAGTTTGGAGACCCCTGCTCTAGAGCAAGAATAATCACACCACAAGTAGACTCAAATGGACAGAATTCCATGATAACATGCAGATCATAAACATAGTTTCTATCACAAAAAATTGTTAAAAAAACAGATTAATCATGACTGTGGTACATACAGCACACTTCTATCACTACCACACACCAATTGTCAAGTTATTTTAGCAGTCTTGGGCATGCCATAATGTACCTTCTCTTCATGCAAATATTATCTTATGGAGTTATATTTAGAAGTAAAACTATAAAGCTGTATAACCTACTAAGTTAAACATAATTTTTGCATATATGTAATTTATTCTTCCTGCAGATTTAGATATAAAAGAAAGCAGGGAGAGAAGAAATAGGAAAGCACCAGGGCAAGAACTGCAAAGTAAGGTTTGCATGCTATGACAGTGGAAGGAGTTGGAGGAGATATGAAAGATAGAAAACGGAAGAGATTTCTTAACTGGAAACTGTAGCATTTAGACATCCTTTAAAACAAAGATTGGTAAATCAAATTTTTACTGTCACATCTGAGTGATTTTGAACAGACTGACAAGACATTCTGACTGCAATTTTCAACTAATAGCAGCAACTAAAAAGTGCCTACACTTGCCATTAGATTGTGAGGAAAACAAACTGGAAGAAATACAGAAATGCATTTTTGGGTGGAAGATTTACAAGCTTAGGTATAATTTTGTACCTGGGTCTCATTTCTGAAAATCCTAATTCTAGTTTTTTTTTTTTAAAGGGGGGGTGGAGAAAGGCAGCACTCATAATCCAGATTTAGCATGTTCAACATTTAAGAAGAATCTGAAAGATCAAGGGTTTTGATGAAGTCTGCATGGATACTTATGGAGTTTTAAAGTGCTATGCTACAGTTTGCTATGCTTCTGGAAATCATGTCCAACCACCATCCTATGTCAAAAAGGAAAACACTGTGGTTGAACTTGAACTTTTATTTATAGCCATACCTATTAATCATCATCATCATCATCCTCTGGTACAAAGATATCATGTTCCTCAAGCAAGGCTGCAAAACTCTTGCTGATCTGGGTCCCAACATAGAGGAAGGGAATTACAACAGCAAATACACGGAGAAGACCAAAGGGCATCTGCAAAGATTTAGAACTACAGTAATTAACATTTCTCAGAATGCAGATTCTCCAGAAAAAGCAAATCTCAATTCGATTGCCTTGCCCCCTAAAGTTAACTGATACCTTAAACTAATATCTAAGACTAGGTTCAAAGACTAGATTTAAAGAAATACCTACTATCAGCTTAAAGAAATATGTTTTTATAATCAACAGCACATATGTACAAAATACAAATGAAAATAAATACAACTGTTTTAAAGTCAGAAAAAAAACAAATGACGAAAAAGTCTTGAGTATTAGCAATACATCGCCCTTTAGCATGATCCTAAACACAAGAAACCAAATGTGGCTATAATCAGATATTCTATCGTAGCATCTGCGGCGGCGGGGATGGTAAAGAATGTACTGCCCTGCTGGATTCGGGGGTTGGGGAATGGTTTAAATACAAAATCGAGGTATCTAAGAGCACATGTGCAATGTTTTTATTTATTTTATTTATTTGATTTGATTTATATCCCGTCCATCTGGTCTATACGACCACTCTGATGTAGGGATTCTATTGGTTGGATTAGAACATCGGGATTCAAAGGCCACTAAAATGTTCGTCCCAAATTAACCCGACACGAAGAGCAATTCTATCGATTCACTAATTTTTCTACCTGCGCTTCCGCCCGATTAGGCCCGCCCTTTAACGCCGTCAGCCAAAAGACGGCTGCGCTGTAAAAACAATCGTAATAAATCATTTCAAGAAGTGTCGCTGTATCTTTTTTGCAGCAGAAACAACCATACGTCCTGCTGCACCAGCAACGTTACCAACGCTACAGTACTATAAGCACCTTATTAGCCTCCTTCAACAGATGCGGGAAGAGTGAGGATAACCTTGCAAGTCTGCGGCTGGTGCAACCCGCCAGTCAACACCCAGCTTTGCCGCTCGTGCTGCTGATCGATTGGTTGGTCGCCTGACTGACTGCCAGCCGGTTTCTCCCTTACGGCGCCTCTAAGGCTTCCCTTCATACACTCACTTTGACAGGCTTAGGCAAAATGGTGCCAGTCCGAGATACGGTTACACGGCGCGAGGGCACGGCGGTGGTTGCTGGCGGCCCCCTGGGGTTTCCGACCATCCCTGTCCTCGCCCAAGTCTCCGCCGTCCCCCACAGGCGCCCAGCCATTTTCTCCACCGTGGTCCTCCTCTCGTCGCCGGTACTATGGCGACGCGCTCGGGCCGTCAGAGGACTGGGCGGTGCTTTCTTACATCTCGCGATGCTTCCCTGAAGCAGGGTGTCTGCGGGACGCAGGGGGAGGGCGGAGGTGACATGATAGAGAAAAGAAGTAATAGTGGGTGAGCTAAACGTCTGGATTCGAATCGCTATTTCCTGGTTGGCACTGAGACGCGAACTTGCATTTTGCAGCGTAGAAACTTCTCACAGAACAACAGGAGAGAAATCCAAGGGGGAGTCCTAGCCACAGCTGTGCCTTAGACGCCGGTGTGTCCGTCCCCCGGAGAAGCAGTTTTTCTTTTTCCAGTTCCAGTTTTGTTTTGTGTGATTTGAAAAACTCACATTCCAGCATTCTATAATACATCCACCTTACCACTTAAAAATTCCATTCCAAATGGGTGGAGAGTGGGGAGCGTTGTAGTTGATGGGAGTGAAGGCATTGCAGCCAACAGTGGGCAGAGCTATGAGAGACAGGCGAAGCAGGATGCGCCTTCATCATCTCTATCACGTCCCTTTATTCCACGCCCATTTTTTCTCATGGATCAGCCTCCAGCGGCAGATATACAGTAGTTTCTTTATCTGCAGTTAAGTGCTTATGTTAGTCCTACAATGTAGTTTGTTCCGAACAGAGCTTGGAAGTGTTTGTTTTCTGGACTACAGCTCAAATAATCCCTGAACTCGTGTGGCCAGAAAATTTGCTGTGCAGAGATTCTGGGAATTTTAGATAATATCTTTTCTAAATTTTGCTTTTCAATGTTACAAGTTGGGGGCGGGTCCAGATTGAAGGAAGTCGTTATGTGTTGTCAAGTCACATTTGACTTACAGTGATGCTAATAGGTTTTCAGGATATGTGAGATATTTAAGTTTTTATCTGTGCCACACCCCCAATGAATTTGAACTAGGTATCTTGAGTCGTAACTCGTAGTCTGTCACTCTACCCACTACATGGCATTGGCTTTCATGGAAGGAAGTAGCCTTCAACCATCTGCAAATGACATGTAAGTTGATTATAACTGTCTCTTTTTCCCTAGGTACAAAACAATTCAGAATATTGCATGCTTGGGTTTACATAGTTTCAGATTGCAGGTGTTTAACATTTAGACCTACCAAAGCACTTGGCTTTTGCCTCCAAATACTCCAAAGCATCAAATGAGGCAGGGCCCTCCCTACTAATAGGCAGAATGAGGTGGTCCCTTCACACAGCAGATGATGGGAGGCAACACCACAGTGCTGGAGGAGAGACCTCTGAATGATGCAGCATGCCCTGTGCACCCTCTGTCAGTTTGCTGGCTTCAAACATGGTTGAGGATTGCCATTCTCAGGCAAGCACTAATCCATCAGTTCAGTCACCTTTTGGACATGGAATGAAAGGAGGACATCTTCTCTTTGGCTTTAGGCAGCAAAATGTATTCGACTGATTTTCTGCTGGGAAGCTCACAATAGGAGCGCACATGGTTTGTATATAGAAGGTCCCAAGCATCTCTAGTTAGGTGTGGGAAGAATCTTGTCTGGAGAGCCGTGGCCAGACAGTGTTTAAATACTGGGCAAGATGGTCTGCATAATGGTGGCTCTTACAGGGGATAAGACTAGGATGGATCTATCATTGGCTATTAGTCCTCCTATGCAGGATGTGGCACCCAGTAGGACAGTGGTAACATCTGAAGTGCAGGCAATCACCATAAGCACAACCCCTGGAAGGAAAATTTAGAAATTAAGGTAGTTGCGTTTGTCCCTATCTAAGTCTTTTGTAGAAGTAATGAGTATTAATAGCCTATTAAATACTATGTTGTCCCCAGTACTTTACATTACAACAAGGAGAGTTCAAACAATATATTTTTACAATGAAAAACAACAATTTTTCCTTTAAGTTCCTGTGAGTTGCTAAGCTCATAAAGAATAGAGAGTTGGAGGGAATTGTGTGAATTCTAGTCCCATGGCACCACTGGATGTAGCATGTCTCTAATATCAACTGCTTTGGGAAAACAACGGGAGAGGTTTATTATTCTTTATGTTCTGCTTGTGGCGCTCATAAGGGCATCTGGCTGACAAATGGAGGAAGCAGGATGTGGGACTTGATAAGCCTTTGGTCTGATTCAGCAGGGCTCTTCATATGTTAAATGTTAATCTTAGCAATTCCATTAAATTACGACTCAATTTATTCTTCAATACTGTACTAATCTTGACCTACTAACTATAAACCAATACAGTGCTGCCTCACTAGAGGATAATAATCGGTTCCACTGAAATTGCTGTTTAGCGAAATCATTGTCTAGTGAAAAGCATTTCCCCATTGGAATGCACTGAAACCTGTTTAATGTGTTCCAATGGGGAGGAATCGTCGTTGTCTAGCGAAGATCGGCCATAGGAAAGCCGCTTTGTGAACCGCCGATCAGCTGTTTAAATAGCTGTCTTGCAAAGCTTAGGTCCCAAAACACCCATTTTGTGAGCATGGAGGGAGCTGTCAAAATCGTTGTCTAGCAAAAATTGGTTTTTGAAGCAGGGACAAAACACTGTCCAGTGAAATTCCCCCATAGGAATCACTGTTTTGCGAATCGCTATAGCGATCGCAAAAAATCAATGTCTAGCGAAAAAACTGTCATGCGGGGGTAGCTGTCTAGCGAGGCACCACTGTATTGTACGTTCATGTTGTAGGTGCAAAATGCAACTAATGCAAACATTTAAAAACAATGCATGTAATATGTATATAATGTTAAATTACTGCAGTGCAAGGCCCAAGGTTACTAGGTTGATTGGTTTATATAATTTAAGCCAATATGTATTGATAACATTTTTCCAGATCATCATTTCTGGAGGAAAGTTTGCCTTTGGAGACAGATATATTTCTATTATACTGTAATACCATTCACATCACCAGCCACTCTTACAAATGCTGAAAATGCTCCCTTATTTCTCATGGCAACCTGATGTAGTGAAAACACTATAGTGATGCCTTTCCCCTGCTGGACTAGCCAGCTAATTAATTTATAATAAATAACTGTACTAACATGCAGCAGAAGTACCACTGTGACTGTAAAAAGGAAATGCTAAAACCTTTTCAATTTACTGACATAAATGGCACTGGCAGGCAATTTGCCCCTTCTAAAGAGATCCTGTCTAATGTGCTTCAAAAGAATAGGTGCAAAAGGTTTACATAAAAGCAGCCTTTATGATCTACAGGTTTCAAAAAAAGAGAATGTGATTACATTTTCTATGACTCATTGTTATGAAAATTAGCTACATCGAAAGGATAGCCCCAATGAAGAAAACTGCAGGATAAGTGAGGCAGTTTTGTGGGGAAAGAATGTTAAAACTTGGGGGGATTTATTTACCCTTATGGCCATGAAAGGTTGTACTGTATTTTTGTTTTGACAATTCATATGAAAATGTATACCATGCCAATTTGTATGTCATAAATATGTGCATTTATTACAGGACACCAAACATTTGTTTGATCAAGAAGGTAAAACAAATAAATGAAGACCAAGAAACTATAAAACACATAAAATGTAGGAAGCAATATTTGAATCACATAATAAGAGCATATGGGTAGGAGAGGAGCAAGAAGTAGAAAAACATGCATCCTCGGAACTGCAAATGTCTGAAAGGAAAAAAAACTAGGCAAGAAACTTAGAATGAATGAAAAACAGTTTGTTTTGTGGTCAGTAGGCAACCTGCCGAAGAATTGATGCTCTTGAATTGTGGTGCTGGACGAACCTCTTGAGAGTCCCCTGGACTGCATGGAGAACAAACCTATCCATTCTGACGGGAATCAACCCTGAGTGCTCACTGGAAGGACAGATCCTGAAGCTGAGGCTTCAATACTTTGGTCGTCTCATGAGAAGAGAAGACTCCCTGAAAAAGACCCTGATGTTGGGAAGGAGTGAAGACAAGAGGAGAAGCGGACGACAGAGGACAAGATGGTTGAAGAAACTCCGGGAGACAGTGGAAGACAGGAGGGCCTGGCGTTCTCTGGTCCATGGGGTCACGAAGAGTCAGACATGACTTAACGACTAAACAACAACAGGCACAAAACTTAGAGAAAAGTGTGTTTGCAAGAACAACTTTGGACAATCTTTAGGAAACTTGCGCAGATGGTGAATCTGAGGATCTGAATGAATAAATGATCACATTTTTTGCAACACTGCAGGGAACCACATTTAATTTTTTCTTCTGTTATTAATAGGTTGTGTTGCCTGTCCTGGAGCTTAATTTTCAAATATTGACTAAAAAAACAGCGTAGGAACTAAAGTCAACCATATCAGACAAAAACAAAATAAGAATAAAAGATAAGACAATAAATAAAAGAGACAAAAATGTTGTGGCATCTTAAAGACTAATGTGTGAGCATGTGAATGTGAGCTTTCATAGATAAAATCCACTTCCTTCAGACATAAGAGTGAGATAACATGGCAAACAAGTCAGTGGATCAGATAACTTCTCATTTTTTGGGGATCAGATGACTTCTCATTTTTTGGAGGCTAATGGTATAGCTAGGAGTATAGCAGAGAAATTCCTAGATCAAATTTAAATTTGGCTGTGAATTCACCAGGTAGACCCAGGCAAGCTACATTTTCTCAGCTTTTTCTCTTTCTGCACTAAGGAGATAATAAAGCTAGCCTACTTTACTAGGCTGTTGTCAGTGATCTATATTGTCTATGAATGTTTCTGAATATTTGCAAATTGTTACAGAAACTATTACAGTATTCTAGTGTGCACAGAAAGGTATCTAACTACCATCCTGTGAAATTGACATTCTCTCCTCCAGAAGAAGCTATAACTGCTATAATAAGTCAAATGTCATTAATAATAATGTAGGGTACAAGACAAAGGACAGTTATATATGGATTTCTCCATGTGTCAAGAAACTACTACTGTATTTTGAAACTGGGCATTATTTGGGCCTCATATTAATGGTTCTGTGTACTTCATAACTGTTTGGAAACATACCTTCTGCCTCAGTTTCAGATGGTGCATAATTAGGCTTTAAGAATATTGTGGTCATTTCTGTAGCCTTTATGACTAAGAAGATGGAGTACTGAATAATGCAGAGCCACAGCTTGGACACCAGAGACTACAGCCATGCTGCCCAAGGAATTCTGGGAGTTGTGGTCCAAAACGTTGCATTTCCAAGCTCTCTCTAGAACATACAATCTGCAATGTATTATTTAAGAAACCCATAGGAGTTATTTTGGCAGTTTTGTTGACTGGGAAAACAAAGAACAACACATACTTTGGGAAAATTAGCTTATCCATTTTCCAAACTCTGCCCTGTCAAAATAGTTACTGGAGTAGAACCATTGAATTAATGTTATTCACATAAGTATTGATCACACCTTTCAGCAATTGTTTTCATGGGTCCACCCTAGTTTAGACCAGTAACTGGGTTGAGGTCATTCTGTCCTTGCCACATTTACACTACTCCCTTCTTCTGACTCTCCAGCCATTCCATCCTCACCTCTGCAATCTCCTGGCCGTACCAGTCATGTAACTTTGAGAAACAGACTGTCTCTGGTGACACAGGACTTTCCTGTACAGCAGACGCAAGGCTGGGTGTAAATGATCCACCCATGTTGTTGCCTGCTAATCTTCGACGGGGAGGTAAGGGTGGGGGTTTCAAATATCCCCCATCATGGTCCAAAGAAGCGACTCCTACCAAAGTACAGCCACTGTCCCATGTGGAGCAACCATTCTCCAAGGCAGCAGGATGCTCCTGGACAGGTACCATGACAGGATTAGAGAGGTGTCTTTTACGGACAGCCGATGACTTTTTTGGCAATTTACGACAGGCTGCCAAACTCTTCCGGGCCTCCTCTAGTTGTTTCTCTAGTTCCTTCACAACAAGCCTCATATAATCAAAGCTGGCCCGTGAAAGGGCTTTCACCCAAGCCTCCATCACAGCTTGGCAGTCAGCAACCAACACGTAGGCCTTACCACCAGAGCCATCAAAGCGAATGGCAAAAGCAAACTCTTCCGCAGCCTCGCACAGCTCCACAGTGCAGCCCTCCAGCACTATGAGGCCTAGCGGGTCACGGCTCTCTCGGTCTTCAAAATAAAAGAGCAAGTTGCCCTTGAGGATGAACCAGCGACGGTGGTAGGAAGAGGTGTGGTGGTGGTGGTGGTAGCGCTCCACACGCTTGCACAGAAAACCAGTGTGGTCCGCTGGAGAGTCACACGTGGCATAATGTGCGACACTACGCTCATTCAGCTTCATGGTAGCAATCCAATCCTGGAGAACATATAGAGAGGAAGTATAAGGAATTGCTGCATGGAACAGACTGCAAAACTAGCTAGCACTGAAGCTGTGGGTTTTCTCCAGAAGGCTGGGAGAGGGGGTAGAAGTGGTCTGAGGTGATAGGCCTGTGCACCCTGACCCAATCACCCCTCCTACAAGTGGACTGCTATCAGGGGGCTAGATTTACTTTCATATGGCAATTTGTAATGGGATTCTTTCTTTAACCTATTTATTAGCCTCTTTAAGCATTGTAGTCTTACCATATGCCAACAGATGTATATTTTCAGGGGAACAACCACATGCATTTTGATGTTTCCTCATTCTGGTGTTAAGGAGAATTGGTGTATATGAGAGAAAACTGTCATACTTAAGATGCATCTGATGATAATACATATCTAAATTTATGTACTAAAATTGTTGGGAGGTGAGGGACTTGCAAGCTTTTAAATAAAGTCTGGAAGGCTTTGATAGAGGGTTGGACTCCATGACCACTGGGATCCTCTCCAGCTCTACAGTTCAATTATCATATAATTATCACCAGCACCTAATTGAGAAATCAAATGTCCAACTCAGCCTAGTCTGTAGAAACTTGTTTACAGTTACTGATGGTGGAGTTAGAAAACTCTTTATTTTAGCAATGTCAATTAGGCTTAGCACTCTGGCCATTTCCTAGTGTGAAGAGTTTACACAGCTTCATTTTTCATGTTAATCAGTGAAAGAAAGCTGCAGGTTCCAGTTATAAGATAATTGACATTTAGGGTGTATGTACATGTATACACAAAGAGCAAAGAGAAAGCAAGATAAATCCCATATATTCAAGTCCATTATAATCTTTACAGTTCTTGATCAATGAGGGTAGGCAACTTGTAGCCCATCAGTTGTTGTTGGACTGCAATTCCTGTTATTCCGCTTTAGTTATGCTGGTTAGGGCTGATGTGAGTTGCAGTCCAACAACATCTGGCTAACTGTGTGTCTTTCACCCATGTCCCACAAGATGGTAGCAAAGGACAATACCCCCATTCTCCATATACACTCTCATTCGGGGTGCAATATTTAGGGAATTTCTCATCTGGATTGTGTTGTGTCTTCTGTGTCCATCCACATCTCCAGGACTGGCCCAGTGTCATAAAACAAATACAGACTTGAGGAAGTAACTCAGATGTCCAAAGGATGCAATTAATGTGGAATGGTTTAGAAATGGCTCCATTAAACTCTTGTTAATCACAGATTGACAAAGTCTGCAAACATCAAGTTAAGACCCCAAAACAGGTTCTTACTCACACAACCAAAGGAAAAAGTAGAGATGATGGGATTTCCACATGCCAGGCTGCTGCTAAAGGTACAAAAACATGGCAGAACCTTCATGTTCAGAGGATGTGTAACTCTGAATACACTTTGCAAACGGTTGACTGTTGGTTGTTGTGGGTTTTTCGGGCTCTTTGGTCGTGTTCTGAAGGTTGTTCTTCCTGATGTTTCGCCAGTCTCTGTGGTCGGCATCTCCAGAGGACAGGGGTCAGACTAGAGCACAGGATTTCTGACTCCTGTCCTATGAAGATGCCGGCCACAGAGACTGGCAAAAGGTTAGGAAGAACAACCTTCAGACCACGGCCAAAGAGCCCGAAAAACCCAGAACAACCATTAGATCCCGGCCATGAAAGCCTTCGCGAATAGGTTGACTGTTGTCTTGAGCTACTGGATGTGTCTGTTAATCCCATAAAGCAGGAGTGGAGAAGCCCAGCCTTTCCCCAACCAGTACTGTGCAGATATCTTTAGACTACACTGTACATCATTCCTAGCCAGAATGGTCAAGCTCACTGGGGATTACGTATTCTAACACGTCATGAGGACCCTAGCATAAGAAAGACTGAGTGAGAGCCAATCCAGTCTCATCCAGAAGGAAACATTATGTTCTGCAGATGCAGCATACTTTTCTGTGTTTGTTATCTTTCAAACTAAATGAGCAGCTTTTAATATAGGCATGTTTAACTATTTTAATTCTCTAATTTTTATTGTGATTTTAGTTGTTTGAGGTTTTTGGGGTTTTTTGCATTTGCATTTGCAAGCTGCCTTAGCTCACTCTTTGGGAAAAATGGGGGGCGGGCAGAAATACAGTAAATATATAAAACAAAGACTACTTAAAATATATTGCTCTAGGTGGAAGCAGGTCAATCTGATCTTGCTCTCTGTCACCCCGCAGCTAACCCCATGTTTCATCTCCAATGGGCAAAGCCATCTTTCCCGTTCTTCTTTGGTGTAGCTATCCTAGACTGTAAGCTACCTGTACTTGGACTGTTGAGTGTTCTTTTCACAATCTCAAGCACACAACTCAAGGGCAGCGGGACAGCACCACTTCTTTATGCAGCAACGCTTACCAAGTTATGCTCACACTCCCTCCCTTTCTCTTTTCTAAAGCAGACGGGGTTTTGTCAAATTGGATCCCGGAGCCGAATCCGCTCTGGAAGAAAATCCTTTTAAAGCCCTGGTGTGGGGGTGTCAGGGTGGTTCTCCACGTTAACGGATTTTTTTTTGAAAGGGTCAGGAATTTAGGGACAGGCCCCTTCTGAAAAGACAAGGAAGAAAACGATAGTGAAGTTTATTACCTTGTTGAAATCCAAAGTAACTTCTTGGAACTTCGTTACATCTTGGTTCAGTTTCCGCTGCGTTCTTCTATTGTTTCCCGAAGTAGTTTGTCTCGTCCTCCCTTGTTTCTTTGCTATATTCTGCCTATTATTGGTGTGGATTTTCAATACTGCAAAACCCGGAACACAGGATCCTTACTGGAATCGCAAGTATTAGGACACGCCAGGCGTAGATCTTCAACATCCAGGTTTTCCAGCAACCTCACATCACGGAGCGGAGGTTTTTCACTCTTCTTTCCTCACGGGTTCCCTCCTTTTCTGTCGAGGTCCCGAAGCCACGTATAGAAAAAAGGGCCGGAAAATCATGTTTTCCCCACTGGGGTATTCCATGTTTTTTTTTCCTGGCAGTTTCCCTTCCCATCCCAGTACTATACCCTTTCATTTAACTATCTGTACCGAAACGTAACATCCAAATAATTTCTGTCTCCAAAGCCCGTATTTTTATTTTGGGAGGCGGGCGTTTTCTTTGTTTTTAACCGATTTTTTTCACCTTTTAAGCATTCTATCAAAGCCAAATCGGGGCTCTCTGAGTTTTGACTGGTTGCAAAATTGATCAGGCTGAACACAGGCGCCAGAGAAGAACAAAAGTCATGCTACAGTATTTTAAAACGACGAGTCAATGTCCGGCCACAATTTGCACACTATAGCAATTTCGAGTGGTATTCTAGGGTCTCCCTTGACAGTAGTTACCAGCAGTAACGCTGGATCAGCGGAAACTATGTGATGAGCGACTGCAAAAGTAGCCGCGCGAATCTTCCGTTGTGCGATAACACAAAACGAAGAAGATCCTGAGACTGTTTATTTAAAAAAACAAAACAAGCACATATAAACACACGTTCCCGTTTTATTTGTACTTATTTTCCCCAGTCAAATATAAATCATTGATATAAATCAAAAGAAGGCAATTGAGGGGAGTTATGCAGATGACAAATCTTGACAGTATCTTAAAAAGCAGAGACATCACCTTGCCAACAAAAGTCCGAATAGTCAAAGCTATGGTTTTCCTGTTGTGATCTATGGAAGTGAGAGCTGGACCATAAAGAAAGCAGACCGCCGAAGAATTGATGCCTTTGAATTGTGGTGCTGGAGGAGGCTCTTGAGAATCCCCTGGACTGCAAGGAGAACAAACCCATCCATTCTAAAGGAAATCAACCCTGAGTGCTCACTGGAAGGACAGATCCTGAAGCTGAGGCTCCAATACTTTGGCCATCTCATGAGAAGAGAAGACTCCTTGGAAAAAACCTTGATGTTAGGAAAGTGCGACGGCAAGAGAAGAAGGGGACGACCGAGGATGAGATGGCTGGACAGTGTCTGCGAAGCAACCAATATGAATTTGACACAACTCTGGGAGGCAGTGGAAGATAGGAGGGCCTGGCGTGCTCTGGTCCATGGGGTCACAAAGAGTCGGACATGACTAAGCGACTAAACGAAACGATGCAGATTTCATGCGGGTTCTTTGTTTATAGAGATGGGAAATAAATTTCAAGATGCTGCTTGGGGAGGAGCTTCCACCCACAAGTTGTTTGCATGCTACAACCCACCTTAAGAAAAATTGCCTGGCATAAACTGCCATGCCATCTTAAGCAAGATCCCATAGTGGGCCTTTGTATAACAAAAATACTTGGGTAATGGATCATAAAAAGGCCTCTGATTAACTGCAGAAATGTATAAACAAATTCATCATCTTCCATAGGGCTTCACAATGACTATCTATTGGTGGGTGAAAGCAATTATGCACATGCTCAAAAGCACATATTACTTCACATAGGTATGTTGCATAAAAGTGAACTATAAGGACAGATTAAAAACAAGGCTGAGATAGGGCACCTATCTGTTTTGTCTTGTTTGGACCCCCAGGCCCATGGCTGCAGCCAGTTCCTCTGGCTGCATGGCTAACCCAAGAAATACTACCGTCTGAGACAAATGGACGAGACTAGCCCTACATTCAAAAGTGTGTTGGATTTTCAACTGCATTTGGATTTTCAATCAATTTTCAGTTGCATTTGATTTTCAACCTGATAAGAGGACGATTTCCTGCACTACACCTGGGACCCGCAAGCTAAGTCACTGGTACATCAGGGTGGCCCTGAAGCACAGACTGTTCTCTCTTCCCAACACCTGGCTGCTGATAATTTGCCAGTCCGCCTTCCACCCGTTTTTCTGCCCACTCAAACAAAGGCTGCAGTTCAGGATTTCCAGCATGCCACCTACGTCAAGCTCATCCCAAACCTGCTAGAGTGCATGTTCTGGAACCTCTCTATCTGTTGGCTCAGCCAAGGCCATTTCCCCAGCATGGTTGTGTGTGAGAGACACATGGGACAAAAAGGCTAGATGCAAGACAGAAGCCTGGCCAGCAACAAGCACCAATCATCACTGTTGGGCACTAGCTTCCAAGAAGAAGGGAACAGCCAGCATTACTGAGTGAATGGCTGGTGATTGTGGGAGCTGCTTGCCTCACTCCGAACCCCTAAAACATTCCATCTATGCCAGATGTCTCACTCTGCCTAATGATTGGGCTGGCCCTGAGGGTAATTTAAATTAATTTAAATATTCTGTTGTGTGTTCTCACATGTTACTGCTGCTATTATTTAGGGAGAGAGGAAACAAACAAGAGGAAAAAAATATGAGATAGAATTGTAAGGAACATGGTAGAGGTTGGAAAATTACTTTCCCAGGCTCTGGGATAGGGCATATAAGAATGAAGTCAATCATTAATGGACTAAGATGCAGTTGGTTCAGCACAGATATAGCTGTTCCATCTTGCATGCCTGGAATGGCAATTGGATAAAGCAGGAATTGTACATTTCCCCTCATATTTCCATACAAGAAAAATATTCATTTTTTTCTACAATTAATAAAAGAGCAGGCATTCCAAGAAGTTGTCTAGTGCATCTTTAAAGGGGCTTTAAAGAGCAGAGGCCTCTTGTAGCTAGCATTTTGTGAGATAGCCACAATATCCCACAAGACTGAATTGGTTTGAGATTCCCCATTCTTTATTCAACATATATAGAACAACATTAATACAGTATACTACTACTATGCATCCATGCTAAATTTGGAGTCAGCTCTACTCATCCATTTATCATTCTGTGCAGGATTAAAAACAAACCAATTGGCTTTTTTTTCAACAGCCAATTGAAAACCTGGCTGTTTAAGCAGGCCTTCCCTCCAGCCACTATTTGATTTATCTTTTTTTTTCTTTTCCATCTTGAGTAATTGATTACCAATGCTGTATTGTTATATTTTTAATTGTTTTATATTTGTCTGTTGTTAGCCACCCAGAGTGGTTGATTGACCAGATGGGCAGGATATAAAATAAACCAACCAACCAACCAAAAATAAATAAACTGTCCTATCATAGACACTCCATCCTTTAAAACAACAACATATCCATCAGCTAGTGTACTTTGCTTCTTGCTCATAAGCTGTATCAGAGAACAGATGATAGTTTATTATATTATTGTTACTGTGAAGTGTTTGGGGAAGTTTTTGGAAAACAAAATACATGACACGTTTTCTAATGAAGTGCTGCAAATAGTAATTTTATTCATGCTGGTTTTTATGCAACAAAAGTACATGAGGAACTACTTCAGTATATTTCAGGGTGTTTGGTTTCCTGCTGCACTCTCTGTTAGTATTTTGTGAGGGTATTCCACTTTGGGTTGTTATGAGTTACTTCGAATGTCCCTAATTTGTGCCACCATCTGAGTTAGGGTACATTTATTTCCTGACTTATTTCACTAAAATTTCTAGTTTGCCCAGATATTCTTCACACTTCATTACTGGAGCCTTGCCTTTATGTAAATCCTGCTATTTTGTGCTTACTCTGAGTACACTTGTACATCTCCAGTACAAGTTTATTTGTATTTTCCCTCCTTGGTACTGACTGCATGTGCTGTTATGATGATGTGTTGGTAAAATACCACAAAACTTGTGACTGATTCCGAGTATATGCCAATGCCAGTTTCTAGACTCTGTGTTTGATTCACTGTATGCCTTCTCTGACACCATGATGAAAAGGGAGCCATGCCTCATATGCATAAGAAGAAATGTGGAAGGAGCCTGTGTGATACATTCATTAGGAAAAGAAATTAGTACTAGTCAGGAAGCAATGAGAGAGCAATCAGTGTCTGTTTTCTCCTAGTGGCAGCTTCTCCATAAAAGGCAGTGGTTGTTACCTACTCACTAGTGACAAATCATTTGTTAATCTCCTTTAGTTCAGTAACTAAGTTCTGTATCTATTCCTGCTGCTTTAATCAAAGCTAATCTTCCTATCTGGTATTTCTCAAATACAGCTTTACATTGTTTTGACAACCACAATAATCCTAAAAGGTTTTTCTAAAGTTCTGTGAAGTTTTTTTTTAAATGTGTGTGTTCTCACTGATTTGCAGCTAGTGTTCAATGAAGAACATGTGGCTAATTTTTCTAGCTGCAAATCACTGCCCCCAACTGCACATTTTGTTTTCATCTGGCCTGGAGAAAGTCCTCTAATCAGCCAAGATGTCCTTGTTCTACCCAAAGCATCCCCTCCCCCACTAAAGCCAGCGCACTCACTCTCATGCTGCCCCTTCACTGGTCATATGCCTTGCACTAGGTACTGAGGGTTGGCATGAGCTCTTGTTAAGGCATCTGGAAGGCAACAGTCCCCTGGTCGTGTGAAGATGGATGGTCTGGAGTGGCCAATCCACAGTGGAGCTCAAAAACAATATTCTTTGGACTACAATACCCAGTATCTCCCCTGACACCTTCCAGGGGATTCTGTGAGTTGTAATCCAAAACGCTTTCCAAACTCGGGCCCAAACCTATTTTGAGGAATATTCTGAGCACGACCTTCACTTCCTTTATTCAAGCGTCTGTTGTGATCCGATGCTAAATAAGGCATTCAGAGTGGTCGCATAGACCAGATGGGCGGGTTACAAATCAAATGAAATCAATCAATCAATCGATCAATTCAGTTCTTCCTGTTTAGGAACCACCACAACATTTAAAAACGAGAACAACGAGCAATCAGACCAATCGGGATTTTCAGGAGACGGCTACAGAACGCTCTAAAGAAGTGGGCAATGGCCGACGAAAGCATATGGAAAATAAAACGCCACAAGGCTCCCTTGTTTTTGCGGAACGTCTCCAATCAGCGGGAGCGGCTGCTTCCGCTTTGGCTGCCTCGGAACAGGCGCCGGGGCTCCCGACTGCGCGCGCCGACCTCAGCTGCCGATCAAAAGCAGGCGGACGGCCGGTCAGGTGATCAGGAGACGGCGAGAAGCGCGTGTGTTTTTTATTTTACCACTGGAATCGACGCCAGCGGTCCCGCAAGTGAGGATTGTGTGGTCGTCATTAAGCGGGTGGCTTGATTTTTCACCTGAGAAGGTAAAAAGGATCTTCCTGGCGTCTGGTTTGCTGGTCCTTTTGTGGGTGATTGTTGTCAGGCGAGGCTACGGGAGGCTTTTGTAATTTGACTCTCGAGTGAGCAGAGCTCTCAGAGATTTTAAAGGAACAGAAGTATGAACAATCAGTATCGTGATAACTGTTAGTGGGAAACGACATGATTCACACACAGAGACACTGTTACGTGCTAATTTTCTACAGAATTCTGCACTGCAGTTTGGGTATTGATCAGCTCGTGTAGGATTGGATAAAATTGTAGCGATATCCGATATGCCCAATTTTTTCTTCAAGCTCTTGGTCCTGTCTGTTGTCAGGCGAGGCTACGGGAGGCTTTTGTAATTTGACTCTCGAGTGAGCAGAGCTCTCAGAGATTTTAAAGGAACAGAAGTATGAACAATCAGTATCGTGATAACTGTTAGTGGGAAACGACATGATTCACACACAGAGACACTGTTACGTGCTAATTTTCTACAGAATTCTGCACTGCAGTTTGGGTATTGATCAGCTCGTGTAGGATTGGATAAAATTGTAGCGATATCCGATATGCCCAATTTTTTCTTCAAGCTCTTGGTCCTGTAGTAGTAATAGTTAGTGCTTAGAGGTTAACAGGCAGCGCTGCGTGTGCATTGCTGCTTTACAAGTCAGGGTGTGCAAACTGAGACCTTACAGATGTTGCCCTCACCAGCATAGCCAAAGGAGAGTAATCATGGGAGGTGCAGTGCAACATCTGGAAGGCCAAAAGTGACCCATCCCAGTTGTATGTGCAACAGCTGTTTTGTAGCTTCTGAGGGCTAATGTACGTGACCCATCTGTATGTGCAACAACTGTTTTGTAGCTTCTGAGGGCTAATGTACAATCTACATAAGAACCGAGCGTTGCTTTGTTTTAAAATGTATCTCTGTAAGGTGTTGTCATTGCTCAGTGACTAGGAAAAGGCAATGGCTACTCTTCCTCTCCAAATTGGAGCATAGTCACATGATTATACAGGAGTTATCTGCTTTGTGTGTGGTAGGGTTGGCCACAACTGTTTTGTAGCTTCTGAGGGCTAATGTACAATCTACATAAGAACCGAGCGTTGCTTTGTTTTAAAATGTATCTCTGTAAGGTGTTGTCATTGCTCAGTGACTAGGAAAAGGCAATGGCTACTCTTCCTCTCCAAATTGGAGCATAGTCACATGATTATACAGGAGTTATCTGCTTTGTGTGTGGTAGGGTTGGCCAGTCAATTGTCTTTCCAGCATAATTGCCTGATTACTTTTTTTGCAGTCATTTGAATGGTAATACCAATAAGTGTTTTGCCATCAGAGAGGTTTAGAAAGTCATTTGAATGGTAATACCAATAAGTGTTTTGCCATCAGAGAGGTTTATCCCAAGATCCTTTGCAAAACTGCATAAAATTCTGGACTGTGCCTCTCTGATTGCACCATGCAGCCTCTTGAAGCAAAAAATACTAGTAAGAGAAAGAGCCACCGAAAGTCATTTGAATGGTAATACCAATAAGTGTTTTGCCATCAGAGAGGTTTATCCCAAGATCCTTTGCAAAACTGCATAAAATTCTGGACTGTGCCTCTCTGATTGCACCATGCAGCCTCTTGAAGCAAAAAATACTAGTAAGAGAAAGAGCCACCACATCCTGAGACCTCTCTGATTGCACCATGCAGTCTCTTGAAGCAAAAAAAAAAAAATACTAGTAAGAGAAAGAGCCACCACATCCTGAGCTTTCAAGGTAAAGTGGACAAAATTCTGAACTAAAAAGAAAAAATATGTAATGACCCAAATCCTGTTATTTAGTGTAGTAAATCATGCTGGAGTAGGCCTGTTCAATCAATGAAGATCTAGTAAGTTAACTTCTGTAGTAAATAACTATCAGACTAGGCTTATTTAAATCAATGGAACTTACAACGGAGTATATGTAATGATATGTAAATATGTAAGTTAACTTCTGTAGTAAATAACTACCAGACTAGGCCTATTTAAATCAATGGAACTTACAACGGAGTTGGCTCACCAAATTCCCATTGATTTAGTGGGCCCACTCTAGTGCAATTCAGTAGGCTGTTAAGCAACAAGATTTTGACCAATTTTATAAAGCTATTTCTGCAGTGTACCGTATTAGAAACCACTTGGGGAAATGGAAAATGTTATAAATTGCTTCATGTTCTTGCTATAGCCCAGAACTTAGCAGATACTCTTTTATTTTCACATCAAATGCAATCTTACAAAAACCTATGAAGTACAGTGAGGACTATGATTTGTTCCATAAAGACAATCTGGGACTTGGAAGGATAGCAGGGATTCAGTAGAAAAGATCCATAAATTTGCCTTGCCTGTGTAGTATGGGATCTTGCAGTGAAAAAAAATGAAAAAGAAAGGTGGTGATTTGAGCATATCCTCAGTAAATCTTGGAAATCTATCATTCACAGCAGAAGCATAGCAATTAATTTTGAAATGTAGGTGTTGATAATGACAGTCCACATAACTTGCACAAGAAGAGTCCAGAAGTGCTGGAACTCTCCTCAAGTTTTTTTTCTCTGCCTGAAGGAAGTCCTTAAAGCTAATGGATCTGGATTGCATTTTCAGGACCAAGCCACCCCTGAAACAAGTTTATGTTATAGCATGAATGAGTCATAGTGGCCCAAATTCTGTTGCTTAGTCTAGTAAATTGTATCAAAGGAGGCTCATTAAACCAACATGAATTTTGTGAATCATCTCCTTCATAGGTTCAATTGATTCAAAGGGGCCTGCTCTGTCTGACTTACTTTAGCTTAGGATGTTATGGTTAGAGTAGGTCCATTTGAATCAATAAACCTTACAAAGGAGTTGACTCACTAAATCCCCATTGATTCAATGGGCCTACTCTAATGAAATTTACTACTCTATACAACAGGATTTCAGCCTTCATGTCCATAAATATGAATTCTGGCTTGCAAATTACAGTATCTATAATATATAAGAATTCTGTATTGTGTCAGCATAAGTCCTTACAGGAAATTTGCTCACTCAGCCTACAGTTTCAGTTACTGGAAAGGGAAGTGAGAAAAGCCTTTATACATAGGCAGCTGATTTCTACCTCTCTTGCACATATCTTTGCTTTTTAAGCCAAGACATAATCATGGCCAGTAAAATATAGAAAAGATGCTAAATGCTGATCTGTGTCCTGATGAAATGTAGCATTTCTTCCTCCCTTTCTGCAGTATTGATTCACCAGTCATGATGCTTGTTACTTCCTCCTTTCTTCTGGCCTTTGTCTCTTTGTCCATGGCTCTGGATAATGGGCTCTTGAGAACACCCCCAATGGGATGGCTGGCATGGGAGCGATTTCGTTGTAATGTGGATTGCAAGTCAGATCCCCACAACTGCATCAGGTAAGTGGAACTGTAAAGAGAGAGTGGGAGATTGGAGCCAGGTCCGTGGGTTATTCAGCCAAGATGGGATCTGTCTTCTTGGAAAAGATCTTGAAGGATAATTGGTTTTATTTTTTCCAGTAATCATATACTACAAATGCTATAGGGAATTTCCATTTTAATGCTGCCTATAGCTGCTTGAAGAAAAAGTGATGCATCCATTAACGGGCTCTAGTTCAAACATGACCTGAGATACTAGAGAAGAGATCAATCTGGAGGGAGGATAATGCATGCTGGACATGACAAAACATTTTAGTGCTGTATATACTGTATAATGCTGCCATATTGCTGGTGCTCTATTTTCCCCACAGCTGCAGATAGTACAGTTGCATGGTTTTTTTTTTTCAACCAATGATATTTATAAACTGCTCATTTTTCCCCCCGAAAACAGTGAGAAGCTCTTCATGGACATGGCGGACTGTATGGCAACCAATGGTTGGAGGGAGTTGGGCTATGTGTACGTGAATATAGATGACTGCTGGATGGCAAAGGAGAGAGATGCATCAGGACAGCTGATTCCAGATCCTGAGAGGTTCCCAAGAGGAATCAAAGCCCTGGCAGATTATGTGAGTGGATGCTCCTAACACTAATGTGAGATCATCAAGGTGGTTTCACATCCACATTTTTGGAAAAAAAAATCCTACTTTATTTATCATGCAGAGAGTTAAAGGAAGTTGTAGCCAAACTGAAAGCATAGAAGGAAGGGAAGCCTGTTATAAGCCAAGCCCTACTAATTGTGATCTTGCAGCAGAAAGGAAACAATAGGGTGGGTTGATGAGGTGCGGTTCGAGTGATTTTTCTAACCTTCTACCTCCTGAGCTGGCTTATTAAAAGGAACGTTTGCTACAGTATATGGTTGGTACAATTTTTTCTGGGTCACACTTGCATTTCTTCAAGTTGTAGAAATACATATCAATACTAGTTCTGTGTGAACATCTCCCAACAGGCACTGGGCAGCTTCCTCTTTTGAACAGGAAGATTGGCCATGAAGTCTTGCAGAAAGACGTTCTCCAGATGAGCTACATCTGTAGTTGTGGGTCTGTCAAGGGGAGCTCCCAGAATGGAGAATTCTGGGAGTGGAAATCCAAAAAATGCAGATGGCACATTCCTAATGACCAATGAGCATGTTGGCTAGGGGATTCTGGAAGTTGTTGCTTTTTAGTACTGCATTTCCATCTCCTGCCTTAGAGCATCTGTAATCACAGGGTGACATATAGTAACCAATGCCAATTGCAACTGGAATTGGTGAAACATTCGAGTTCAATAAACTCTGAACATGTACTGTGGGTAAGAGGAAGGGGATGAGTTTTTGGTCAGAGACAGGTAAAGATATTCTGTAATGTCAAGAATAGCACTGTGCCAACAGATTGAGCTTGGGCACGTTGTCTGCCTTTAGAGATTGTCCACGGAAGTTTTCCCTCAGTCTCACAAACTATCATTTCTCTTGGCAGGTCCATGCACGGGGTCTGAAACTTGGCATTTATGCTGACATAGGTAGCCACACTTGTGCAGGGTACCCGGGCACCACATTAGACCACATTGAACAAGATGCATTAACATTTGCACAGTGGGGAGTGGACATGCTGAAGCTAGATGGCTGCTACTCAATAGCAGTGGAACAGGCCCTAGGTAAGGTTTTTTTTTGCCTATTAAACTTGTGTGTCAAGCTCCAGGTTCTGTATGGGCTTGGACTGACTCTTGCTTTCAGATCATAAATTGGGTAATTAAAATGGATGATTAAAAATCTTTTAATCGGTTATAGGCTGCAACCCTGTTCATGTAAGTTTCACAGAGTAAGGCTGATATGTCACAAACACGATTTCAGCCTTATATTGTTTTTCAAAATTATGTTTTCAAATGCTAAAAAAGCTGCTTGAAAATAAAATATGTTAAAAGCTATATCAAAATTATATCTGCATTATTTGAAAACCTGTTAGTGTTAAAGGTAAAATAAATATTTACTAATGCTAAAAAGAAGCGGAATGGGGCAGGATGCACATAATTGATTTTTTAATTGAACCATAATCATGGCACAATATGCCACATGCTATATTTGTTACTTTGGACTTTCTACTAGATCTAAGGACGAGAAGGTTATCACAAACACTAAAATCCAGACGATACAGTTTTTATCTCGGCAGCATAATCTTTGGAACATGTACAAATGGCTTAGTATTTCTACTTCACACTATTTTATTACCTGATCTCTGCAATATGCTCAGTTTTCAAATTATATTTATGACAGTACAGACACTTTCAATCTCCTTGAAAGTTCTGGTGACTAACATTCTGAGCCTATGAGTGCTTCCTCACTGCTGGACCTCCCAGTGACTTTCAGGACCATTGACCATAGTATCATTCGTTCTGGCCTGTCTTTTTGGGATGGGACTTGGAAGCACTGTCCTATGGTGGCTATGATCCTTTCTGTAGGAGAGAAATCAGAAGATTATGCTGGGAGAATCCTGTTCAACACCCTGGCTGCTGGCCTGTGGGGTCCCTCAGGGTTCTGTTTTGTCTCCTATGTTATTTAGCATCTACATGGAACCACTGAGAGAGGTTGTCCAGAGTTTGGGGGTTTGATGACACCAGTATGTGGATGATAGATACCCAATGCTAAATAGATCCTTGCCAAATAAATCCAAGAAGGCTGTTTCAACTCTAAATCAGTGTCTGGTGTCAGTAATGGACTGGATGAGGGGGGAAAACTGTAACTTAACCCAGACAAGACAGAGGTGCTCCTGGTCAGTCAAAAAGCAAATCAGGGATGCATCCTGTGCTGAATGGGGTTGCATTCCCTCTGGAAACACAGGTGTGCAGCTCGAGGGCGCTCCTGGGTTTGTCTCTGAGTTTGGATGCCAGGTTTCAGTGGTGATCAGGAGTGCCTTTGCACAGCTAAGACTAGTGCACCAGCTGTGCCCATTCCTCAAGAGGTCTGATCTGGCCATGATGAGACATGGCTTAGCGTCATCCCAGATGGATCACTGTGATGCCCTGTATGTGGGGGTGCCTCTGGAAAGTGTCTGGAGACTTCAGTGGATCCAGATGCAGCAGCCAGATTGCTGACTGGGTTGGTTATAGGGCTCACATAACACCCCACCCCTCCGTTACAGCAGCTCCGCTGGCTGCTGATCCATTTCCAGGCTGAATTCAAGGTGTTGGTTCTAACCTATAAAGCCCTAAATGGCATGGGCCTATGCTATCTGAAAGACCTCATTTCTTTTTATGAGCCTGTTTGAGGCAGTCAAGGTGATCAGGAGAGGCCTTTCTCACAGTCCTGCCACCTTCACAGATGCATTTGGTGGGTATAGGGAGAGGGCCTTCTCTGCTGCCTCAGCCTTTTTCTAAGCGAGTGGAATGGAATTCTTGTGTTTGTGGGCTGCAACTTCCAGATTTTTCCCCAAGGGATTTTTTGACAACTTACTTTGACAATTTATTTTTGTGTTAATTCATTCTTCAAAGGTTATCCTCGAATGTCTAGGGCTCTGAATGCAACAGGCCGTCCTATTTCCTATTCCTGTAGCTGGCCAGCCTATCGAGGAGGACTTCCACCCAAGGTGACATGTTTCTGAGATGGTTTGGGGGTTGGGTGTTAGTTTTTCCTGTCCATGAAGCAAGCCCATTGTATTTCTGGAATTTTGAATTCAGCCATTTGTGGATCAGATGCTGGCTGTCAGCAAGGATGAATCCACTGGTAGGTGGCATGGAAGCAAAACAAAATGCAAACGGTTGCCTCTTCTTGTTTCTTTTCCTCCTTCCCTTCTCTCTGGGCCACTGTTTTCTCATTCTTGTTGAGAGGCACCTTTTCTCCCTTCACAGTTTGCCACCGCCTTTTTTCACTTTCTCTTTCTATTTGCTCCTTGCTGTCAGGAGATGGACACATTGCTCTTACTGTTAGACCCATTTGAACTAGATATGGGAGCTTCATGTTCATATCCTGGGGGATATGAATGCACGGTGGTCCACTCCCGCCCCCTAGAACCAGCTTGGTCCACTTACCGGCCTCCTTGCAGCGCTTATGTCGAACTGTGGTGACATTGCGCCAATCACGGACGTTGTCCCGCCAGTGCTGCCCCGCCTCTCCCCTCAGCTGACCACTCAGATGCTGAGCAGGGAGACTCCTCTTCCTGCCTTCTTGCCCTCCTTGTGGTCAGTTGTGGGAAGAGGTGGAGCAGTGCTACTGGGACTAAGTCTGCAATTGGCATGATGTCGCTGTTGTTGGATGTGTGCACTGCAAGGAGCCTGGTGAGTGGACTGGACTGGCTCTGGGGGGTGGAAATAGACTGCCATGGCTCATATCCCTTCGGATATGAATACAAAGCTCCCATGTCTAATTCGAACTGATCTCCTGAAGATAATTTTTAAGAATAGGCAGAGTCACGTGATATTAGACTCAGGGCCGTAGGGTTCCACAGACTAGATTCCAGAGTGGTAGAATATACCAGATGGGCGGGATATAAATTGAACAAATAAATAAAATAAATAAATAGATTCTCTACTTTTGATCTGATTGTTGTTGTTTTGTTTAGTAATCCTAGTTTTCAGCCTTTATTTTCTGAATCACTTTAGAGTACAATATTATCTGAAGTGATAACCTAGTGCAATACTTATACCTTATACAATCCTTCTTTTACTTGGTTATCTAAAGTAGTTTTTGAGCTCTCTTATCAAGTTTTCACTTCCCTTTTTGGCATGTTAATACACTTGGATTTTTCTGTCAGCTGTGGAACTCAATGGTCAAACAGGTTGTAGCTTGTTACTCTTCAGTAACAAGCTACAAACTGCCCAGAGTAGACCCATTCTAGATGGGTGGTATATAAATCTAATAAATAAATAAAATTAAATAAAGTTGCTGATATTTTTTCCACATTTTTGTTCCCGTCCCATCACATACACACTTGTATTTCCAAATGCTGGTGAAATACATTCGGAATGTCTAGGATATGTCCAGCAATGATAAGAAGTGTTTTTCATTCCTTTCCTAACACCATTAACTGCATCTTCCTCCCTATATCTTCAAAAACTAAATCATCCAAGTGTGTAATTATTGTATTTTATGTCTTTTTCAGGTGAACTATACTCTCCTAGCAAACATATGTAATCTCTGGCGAAATTATGGTGACATACAAGATTCTTGGGACAGTGTCCTTTCCATTGTGGATTGGTTCTCAGCCAATCAGGATGTTCTTCAGCCAGTGGCTGGCCCAGGCCAATGGAATGACCCAGACATGGTAATGTTGGAGAGAGGAGGAGGAGGAGGAGGACGTGAAAGCTAGGAGCAAGAGAGAGGGAGAGACCTTCTGCAAGCCTGTGACTACAAAGAAGGAATGGAGATGATCATTGGTAGAAATTCATCTGTTAGCATTTTATATACTTTATCCCTTGTTTGTAAGTCAACTGATCTGCCCAAGCTTTTGTGTTTTATTTTGGGGAGTTCTTTAATCTATTGTAATAGCTCATCCTTCTCCCCTAGACAGAGTGGACCCAACCACATCAAGAATCTGAGTCGGAACCTCTATAAATTATTCAAGTACATACTGTTGTGCACTGCATAATGTATCCTACATAACAGAACAAGGAGCTATGCTCACCGGAGCTTCAGAAGGTTATTTTTTCCAGAATTCTCAGTCTTCTTTTGGATGGGAGGTGCTAAAGGTTGTCCAAAAGAGTAATGCATCCATGCTCTGTACCTGGCATTATGAAAGAACCTCCAGAAAGCCTTGGTCAGATTACTCATACAAGCATGCAGATTTGGGTCTTCTAAAATTTCACCAGCTGCTCCAATCCATATACTTTCATGTCTGTATTTTCTACTCTAATTGACAAGATGCTAGTTTTTTTACTTGAAATGGCAAGTGCCATTTCTGTATTTGCACAGTCTTGTTTTGTACTGCATTTGATCCCTGATAATAATGCCTACAAACAGTGAGTACAAAATCCAGACTTGCAGGATCAGCATTCTATCTTACTAGAACCCCAAGATCCATCAGCTGGAGCCATTTGGTAGAGCTTGGGGTTCATTTCCACATAGCTGGACCAAAAGACAACAACAACAATAATATAATTTGTCAGCCTCCAAAAACCCACGGGAACATCAGGTAGAGAAGGTGTCAGAAAATGAGGATGTCAAGATGTTGTGGGATTTACGGATCCAAACGGACAGACATCTTGAACATAACACACCAAACACAGTAGTAATAGAACAAAGAAATGTCTGGATCATCAACATTGCAATTCCATGGGATGCCAGAGTTGAAAATAAAGAATTGGAAGAACTAACAAAGTACAGAGACCTGGCAATTGAAATATCTTGCCGCTGGAAGAAGCACACTTCAGTGGTCCCTGTAGTCATTGAGGCTTTGGGGACAATATCAAGACATTTCACACTGTACTATAAGCAGTTTCAGATCTCAGAAATCATACCATCAGAGCTACAAAAAGTGTCAATATCAGGAACAGCATATATACTGGGTTGATACATAACAGGTTCTTTGGTTTTTGGTTAAAACTTGTATATGTTATATAATACCAGTCAGTATTTTTTATAATTTTGACTGTGCCTGCCATTTGTGGATAATGATGATGATGATGATAACAGCAACAATAATAACAACAAGAACAGGGTTGACTCTGAGTAAATTCAGGGTTTAAGAATTTATTTTCTGTATCAGAAATGAGTGGAGCTCTAAGTCCTTCCCAGCGGTAGCTGTGCTTGCTGGTGGTTTCTACAAGCTATAGCCAAAAAGAGGGACTTTCCTAAATTCTGGTCCTTCTGCACAAGATCCATTCCCAGTTAATCCAGATTTCCTTCATCTGAGCTGTCTGTCTGAAGGCAGAGATGCCATTTTGTTGTTACTATGACTAAACATCTAGAATTCAGAAATACTTGCCAGTCTACTGTCAATCAGTTGGAGATCTACCAGGATGTCTTGACTATTTCCTTGCCTGTCCTGAAATCTCTTTAGAAACTTGTTTATCCAGGTAGACATATTCACAGGGAAGTAAACTAACTTGTCAGGTTTCTATTGAGTGAAAAAGGGTTCTTAGCTGATGTGAGCCACCTCTAACTTGCATGTGCTTTTTACTTTCCTCTTTTCCAGCCTTTGTCTTAACCATTTCTTCGTCCTGCAGCTCATTATTGGAAACTTTGGTCTCAGCGATGAACAGGCTCAGTCACAGATGGCCTTATGGACCATAATGGCTGCTCCCCTTTTCATGTCCACTGACCTTCGTGTTATTTCTGAGAGAGCCCAAAAGATTCTGCAAAACAAGCTAATGATCAAAATTAACCAAGATCCCCTGGGAATCCAAGGTCGCAGAATCCTTCAGGTAAAAAAAACCAAGAATTCAGTCTTGTGACCAGGTAAGTGTGACATACAACTCCTTAAGAGTTGCACAATTCTGACTTCTGATCGTATCTGGGAAGGACCAATAATTTAATATGTATGTTTTTAATTAAATCTGTATCTTGCATTTTCTCCAAGAAGCTCAGGGAAGTCTACATGCTTGTTCTCCCCAGCCTGTTAATGTGGGCTGAGAGTGAATTTTAAGGCTACATGAGGATTTGAACCTTGGTCTCTAGCCATAATTTAACATCCTAGTCTAAATACTACTCATCACCTATACTGCACATGTCCAGGTGAGGATTTTTATTAGTGCCACATACCTTTTAATTTTCTTTTACAGGAAAAATCTCACATAGATGTATTTTTGCGACCACTTTCCCACTCGGCCAATGCTCTGGTTTTCTTCAGCCGGAGGACAGACATGCCTTACCGCTACACCAGTTCCCTAGCCCAACTCAATTTTACACAGAATGTTGTATATGAGGTAAGCAAGAACATAGAAAATGGCATCTCATAGTAGTTCCCATCCTTGAACAAGTAGCAGCCTTCTGTAAAGTGAGGCTCAAGGCTGTTTAGAGCATTAACTGTAGATCAGGTATATCTTCCAGAAAGCTGTCCTTGCACAGGGTGGCATATTCTGCAGTCATAGCATGACTGTTGGGGAATTTTGCTCTCTTCCTTCCACTCACTGGACCCAACATTAATTTCTGTCTTGGTTACCTTAGCTTAGGTGTAACTGGAACTTAGTGAAATTCTTTTGGATTACATGGAATGGCCATGCTTGAGTGGGAGATTCTGGGAGTTGTAGACAGTAGTCCAAAAAAATTTACAAGCTCTAGGCATGATTGATGCAAGTGATCAGCATGCAGCCATATATAGGATGATCTATACAACAGGTTCGGCTGCATACTGTTGTGTGCAATGTACATTGATGCTTTTCATCTCTATTGCTGCAAACACGTGGGACGGGCAGTGACAATGATTTTAAAAACCCTTCAATTCTATACAGTTTTTATTTATCCTTGATGTGTCTGCTACTTGAATATAGTTGTACATTTAAAGTGGCCGCTGGCTCTCCATTTCTTCTTCACCATCATGCTGTGTTTGAAATAATACCACAATATCACACAGTAATCTGGAGCATAAGTTAGAAATGATTCCCTCATTCCCGCCCCATTTTGGTTGAAGGGAATGAGGGGATAGATACCAAAAATTGATTTACCTGTGGTAATTTATGTATGAATAGTAACTATTTCCTGTCACAACATCTTCTTTTGAATTTACCAGGCACAAGATGTGTATAGTGGACAGATCATCAGTGGCCTGAAAGTTGCTGACAATTTCACTGTTGTCATTAATCCCTCTGGAGTAGTCATGTGGTATCTCTACCCTATTGTGTACCTGGACCAGCCTTCCAGCTTCTTAAAACAACAGCCAGAAGCCAAGAAGTTTCATCCCTTCTCCCTGTGGAATCCAAAGGCCAAATAGGTCAGAATCTGGTATGATCATTCTGCAAGCCATGGGGGCAGTGCTCCCTCCTGATATAGCTATCAGTGCCTCAGACTTGAAGGGGGAAAAAAAGACTGCAAATGGTGATGACTTTTACATAGCTAAATGTGAATACCAAGATAATGTGCCATGTTTCCCCGAAAATAAGACAGGGTCTTATATTACTTTTTGCTCCAAAAATGCATTAGGGCTTATTTTCAGGGGATATTTTATTTTTTTCATGTACAACACTCTACATTTATTCAAATACAGTCATGTCATCTTCTGGTTGCTGCACAATGGTGGGGAGCGGGGTTTCACTTAACTGGGGCTTACTTTGGGGGCAGGGCTTATATTGCAAGCATCCTGAAAAATTGTTGTTGTTGTTTAGTCATTTAGTTGTGTCCAACTCTTTGTGACCCCATGGACCAGAGCACGCCAGGCCCTCCTGTCTTTCACTGCCTCCTGAAGTTGGGTCAAATTCATGTTGGTTGCTTTGATGACACTGTCCAGCTATCTCATCCTCTGTCATTCCCTTCTCCTCTTGCCTTCGCGCTTTCCCAACATCAGGGTCTTTTCCAGGGAGTCTTCTCTTCTCAT